GCCTAGTCCCGCTCCTGGGCCTAGTCCTGCTCCTGGGCCTACTGGGCCTAGTCCCACTTCAGGACCTAGTCCCGCCCCTGGACCAAGTTCTTCCCCAGCAGCGTCCACAGCTTCTGCTGCTGGGTCCTCCCTCTCGGGGACACCATCCATCTCAGGGACATCTTCCCCGCCCCTGGCATCCTCCGACGTCCCGCTGACAAAGGGCCCCGCCCCTGCTAAGCTCCTTGGCAGTATCACGACTCCTGATGGAGGCGTGCTCCATCTCGCCACATTCACGGCCTCCTAGGGGCGCTTGTTGCGTCACGCCCTTGGTTAATAATGATATTGTCTGCTGCTGTATATATTTGTCTATTTGTGATGTAAATAGTGGTGAAGTTGTGATGTAAATTAGTGCTGAAGTTTATAAGTAATGATGTCACTCGTTTGCTTAAATCGCAAATTCACTGAAAACTAGAAAGCAAAGTTTTTGTGGAGTTTTCTTTGCTTATAAGTTTTTAGTGATGAAGTTATGATGTAAATTAGTGGTGCAGGTATCCGGATGATGCAGTTAATGATGTAAATAATATTCATATTGAATTTTCGCACCAGCACATCGAATGTTCACGGCTGATGTCGCTGTTTTTACTGCCATGACGACGCGATCTGAACTAACGAGCTTGAATTTATTAATTGAAATAACTAAAAAATTGAATTAATAAATAAAGTGAATAAATCAACTGAATTAAAAATATTTAATAAATTAATTGAATTAAAAAATTCAATTCAAGTGTTCCGTCGAGTTCCATTTGCACAACATTAAATCTTGAATATTTTACAAAGCCATTTAAATGATCCAAAAACACTTCTAGACGGCATTCCAAAGTGCAAGTATTTATCTAAAGTATTCTTCGTATCACTTGAGCATTACTTGTGTTACTCAAGTATTCCTCTTTTCGTTCAAGTGTTATTTGCCACTTAACACGTTTAGTGAATCACGATTACTTTTTTTCGGACAAATTCCGTGTTTTTTTTCTCCATTGCGTTTCTCGACACAAATGTATGATGACAGCACCACTTTATTATATTTTAAAATGTACGGAAAAAAGGTAAATTTAATTTTTGCACCTGAACCTATAAATTGACTAGCATATTTTGAGTTACATGCCTTTTTATACGCGGACTAAGCCGGTTATACTTTGCCATTAATGCAGAATTTTTGAAACGGCTAACTTTACCCAGGACATGAAAAGTGATTTTTCTTATTGAAAATCACAACAATGAATTGAAACTATTGTGTTACATTAATATATTATTTACAATGTTAATAATTACTTACGAAATCTTAGCATACATGTCGTACAAACCTGGTAATTTACAATAATTTGTTTGTCTTCTTGCACAAACAATTCTTACTGATTTAATAATGAATTGTTCAACAATTGTGCACCATTATTTCTAATAAATCCTTTGAGAAAATTTTGAAATTAGTATTGAACGACCTGAGATTACAACGTAGAAACTGACGGGGAAATACAGCGGGACCATTAAATATATATAGTTAATAAGTAATTAGGGAGCCTGTGTTATCTGTGGCTGTGTTGTGTGTGATGTACACATCACATGTGTGGTGTGCCAGACACAATTGAACAATTGTGCTGCATGGACAACAAAAACAACAACAAAAAAGTAGAAGTTTTATTCTACAGTCGCTGAGGTGCTGGAAGTTGAAGACAGTTTTGGCTGCTTGCTTCTATAATTTATACGCGTTACAATTACTATTAATTATTTATTAGGAATTATTACCACAATACATGGACAATTACAAGCAGGATTTATAATATTTATAACACATGACATGATAATCATCTGAGAAGATGGACCCCTTTAGTAGTCATTGATAATTTCGCGTGAATTCCTACACGCGTGTTACGTGAGATCCAACACCCTACGTGCAACACGCCGCCCTCTGGCAGTGCAACACGCCGTCCTCTGGCAGTGCAACACGCCGCCCCCAGGGAGTGCAACACGCCGCCCCCAGGCAGTGCAACACGCCCCTCACGCCGCCCCCAGGGAGTGCGCCCTCCTGTAGTGCCGCTGGACGGCCCTCACGTCGCAGGCGTCGAAGTCACAGTCGGTGCACTGGTAGGGCTTGTCCCGCGTGTGTTCCTTGAGCCGATGACGCGTCAAGACGCACTTGTAGGCGGAGCAGAAGTGACAGTCGCTGCACACGAAGGGCCTGAGCTCCACGTGCTGCTGCCGCTGGTGGACCATTAAAGTGTCCCTGGTCTCAAAGGGCGCCCCACACACGCGACACTTAAACGACTTGCGGCCTGAGTGTCTGCGTCGGCAGTGCGCACGCAGAAGGTGTATGGTGGTCGTCTGGAAGTCACACTCGCGACACCTGAAGGTTTTTTCCTGGTCCTCGTTGTCCGATGTGTCTTTGTGGACTTTGCGGTAATGCGCGAGGACTTTCTGTTTCAAAGTATCCGAGAAAGGACACTCGCTGCACTTGTAATTAAAGGCGTGCTTGTGCTTGAACCTGTAGTGCACCTGCAGGTTGTACAGCACGACGGAGGCGTAGTCACACTCCGTGCACCTGTAGGGGCGCTCGTTGCTGTGTTTGTAGCGCTTGTGTCGCTGTAGGTCGTCCTTAGAGCCCGCCGCGTAGGGGCATTGGTCGCACACAAAGGGCTTCTCCCTCCTGTGGCGGCGCTGCACGTGCTTCAGGGCGTTGTGGAACAGCGGGCTGGAGTAGGAACACGCGCTACACTGATACAGAGCCGCCCTCGGTCTCTCCAAACTCAACTCCGCAGCCTCGCTGTCGATGACAAAAACTGATTCTTTTTCTCCTCCTCGTCGCCGTTTTTCTTCTATTGACGTCGAACTGTCAGGGATGAACTGTCTTTCTTCACCGCGAACGGTTCTCAAATTTTGATCTTCATCAGTCCGTTGCCTTGGGTCCTGGACGTCAACGAAGAAATCGTTAGCAGTAACGTCTAGAGTTTCGATTTGTCCCGTCTTCCTTAATCCCGTTTTGGTTTCTTCGAGAGCGCAAAAGCCATCTTCGGTGCCTAAAATATCAGGAAGCGTAAAAATTTCTCCCTTCAAAACTTCCTGCTGGAGAAAATCAACGTGTGCTTTCTTCTTGTCTTGCCCACAGGCGCCCTCACCGGCAGCAGCAGGAAGCTCTTGTTGGTTTAGAGGGCCTCGGTTGACATGAGATCCTTTCACATCACCTCGAAGGATATTATTTTCTGTAGGATATCTTCTGTTTCTATTTAAGGAGACATTATTTGCAATGTAAGAGCCTTGCTGTGCATCATATAAAACATTGTTCTCATTATACGAGGCTCTGTTGTCACAGTAGGGAACATTGTTCTCATTATACGTGGCTCTGTTGTCACAGTAGGGAACATTGTTCTCATTAAACGTGGCTCTGTTGTCGCAGTAGGGAACATTGTTCTCATCATAAGCTCTTCTGTCATCATAACTGACGGGGTCGCGGCAAGAGACTACGACGTCCTCCTCCATGGCGCGGTGTTCCGTTTCGGCGATGAAGGCGTGAGGTTCCCGTGACAGTCCTCCGCCTTCGTCGTCCTGGTGAGGCCTTAACACGTCCTGCTCATCAGCGACGTAGGTTCTGACGACCTCCTCCTGCTCCACAACGTCACCAGAATCCTCGTAAATAATCTCGGCGTCCATGAGTTCTTCTTCGTATAATTCGTGGGCGGTGATCCCGTCAGGTGCTTCATAAAATACGCGCGTCTTCAAGAGCTCTTGATTGGAGACCTCTTGTCTCTCTTGGTCGGGGTCCTCTTGTCTCTCTTGGTCGAGGCCTTCTTGTCTCTCTTGGTCGGGGACCTCTTGTCTCTCTTGGTCGGAGCCTTCTTGTCTCTCTTGGTCGGGGCCTTCTTGTCTCTCTTGGTCAGGGCCCTCTTGTCTGTCTTGGTCTGGGCCCGCATGTCTCTCTTGGTCGGGGCCCGCTTGTCTCTCTTGGTCGGGGCCCTCTTGTCTCTCTTGGTCGTGGACCTCTTGTCTATCTTGGTCGGGGCCCTCTTGTCTATCTTGGTCGGGGCCCTCTTGTCTCTCTTGGTCGGGGCCTTCTTGTCTCTCTTGGCTGGGTACCTCTTGTCTCTCTTCACGGCCGACAGGTTCGATTGGTTCACAAGCTTGAGTTCCTATGACGTCATCATGTCTATAAACTGGGAGGTCGTATTCCACATCAAAGGTTTCTATCACCTCATGTTCTATGACAACTTCCTCGTCCACCACATCATGCTGTTCGTCCTCCACGCAGTGATATTCGTCCACAATGCAGTGCTCTTCGTCCTCCACGTAGAAACCGTCGCCCTCCACGCAGTGTCCCTCCATGCCACCTGCTTCATGACCTGCCACCGGCTGCTCAGCTCTGAGTCCGTAATCCAGTTCGATCACCTCCCTCGCCCCGACCACATGCACGAGAGTGGCTGGCCCTGAACTGCTATCAGAAGACCTGCCCTTAGAAGACCTGGACTCAGAAGACCTGCACTCAAAAGACCTGCTCTCAGAAGACCTGCCCTCAGAAGACCTGCCGGACTGCTGCAGGTCACCAAGATCCGTCTCTCCGACCTGCAAGTCCAGCAGCAGCTGGTCGTGGTGCTTGGTGATGAAATGGTTCTTGAGCGCCAGCGCCCAGCGCGTCGAGAAGTCACACATGTTGCAGAGCAGCGGCTTGTGATCAGGATGCTGCTGGCGGTAGTGCCTCTGCAGGAACCCTTTGCTGGGGGTGCTGTAGCCACACTCGCCACACCTGAACCTCATGTGGCTCTTGTGGGTCTCCGCCGTGTGGTACTTGAGGACGCTCAGGGAGGGCGTCGTGTAGTGGCACGCGGGGCAGCTGTAGCGCCGCACCACGGGACTGCAGGACACGGACTGCTGCTGTAGCGTCACCTCCGTCACGGAGCCCGCGTCCCGAGAGTCAGGTTCTGCAGCTGCCAGAGATTCATGTCCAGAAGCCAGCAGTTGGCAGCCATGTTTGCCGCGGCTGTGGGTCCTCAGGTTGCTCGCTGAAGCCGACGCGTAAGGACAGAGGCGGCACCTGAAGGGACGCGCTGACGTGTGCTTGTACTGACGATGTCGTGTGAGGTCTGACGTGGAGACGCAGCTGTAGGCGCAGCTGGTGCACTGCAGAGGCTTCTCGTGCAGATGTCTGCGTCGGATGTGCGTCTTGAGATGGAAGCCGTAGACAGTGCAGTAGTCGCAGTCGGGGCAGTGGAACACTTTAGGGGAGACACTGCGAGCGTCGGTGGTCAGACGAGGCTCAGGACCTGACCTTCCTTCCTGGGTGGCAACGAGAGGAGAACGCTGCCCCATGGCTGGCGGGTGTTGCCTCTGGTCCTGCATTTGTTTCCTGTGGGCCGACGTTAGTTGTCTGTGGTCCTGCGTCAGAGGCCTGTGGTCCGACGTTAGTTGCCTATGGTCCGGCGTCTGCTGCCTATGGTCCTGCGTCTGTTTCCTGTGGGCCGACGTTAGTTGTCTGTGGATCGGCTTGCGGTGCATTTGTTCTTCGTTGTGCACCTGCGTTTTTGTAGGCAAATGCTGCACGTCGGTGAGGTTTCTTGTGAGATTCTTGCTAACTGACGTCATCCCTGCTACACTGGGCCGGGACTACGCCTCGCCGAGGACAGCGTCTGCAAGACAAGATAACATCAACACACCGTGCACTACACCACACCACACCACGGTCCACTACACCACACCACCGTCCACTACACCACACCACCGTCCACCACACCACACCACCATCCACTACACCACACCACCGTCCACCACACCACACCACCATCCACCACACCACACCACCATCCACCACACCACACCACCGTCCACCACACCACACCACCATCCACTACACCACACCACCATCCACCACACCACACCACCATCCACTACACCACACCACCGTCCACCACACCACACCACCATCCACTACACCACACCACCATCCACCACACCACACCACCATCCACTACACCACACCACCGTCCACCACACCACACCACCATCCACTACACCACACCACCATCCACCACACCACACCACCATCCACTACACCACACCACCGTCCACCACACCACACCACCATCCACTACACCACACCACCATCCACCACACCACACCACCATCCACTACACCACACCACCGTCCACCACACCACACCACCATCCACTACACCACACCACCATCCACCACACCACACCACCATCCACTACACCACACCACCGTCCACCACACCACACCACCATCCACTACACCACACCACCATCCACCACACCACACCACCATCCACTACACCACACCACCGTCCACCACACCACACCACCATCCACTACACCACACCACCATCCACCACACCACACCACCATCCACTACACCACACCACCGTCCACCACACCACACCACCATCCACTACACCACACCACCATCCACCACACCACACCACCATCCACTACACCACACCACCGTCCACCACACCACACCACCATCCACTACACCACACCACCATCCACCACACCACACCACCATCCACTACACCACACCACCGTCCACCACACCACACCACCATCCACTACACCACACCACCATCCACCACACCACACCACCATCCACTACACCACACCACCGTCCACCACACCACACCACCATCCACCACACCACACTGTCCAATAAAGCTGAGCAACAAAGAACCTCTAATGAAATATAGATCAATAATTCTGAACAGAAAATTAAATGAGCCAAACACATAGTAAGTCTTAATAGTCAAGTTATAATAGAAGCATCTATTGCTTACCTTGGAGCACGTAATGGTCAGACTATAATGGAAGCGTCTATTGTTTACCTCAGAGCACGTAATGGTCAGACTATAATGGAAGCGTCTATTGTTTACCTCAGAGCACGTAATGGTCAGATTATAATGGAAGCGTCTATTGTTTACCTTAGAGCACGTAATGGTCAGATTATAATGGAAGTGAAGAGTGTAGCATGAGGCTTGGGCAGCAGCAGGCGTGAGACATGGCATGAGCCTGGCGAGATAAGAACAGAGGCATCAAGGGTTATGTCAATTTAAAATTTAAAATTTCAAGTTTAATAAGAATGAAGTAGAATTTGGCTTGTAGAATTTCAAACCCAAAATATGTAATTTTAAAGACATAATTTTAGAAAAAAAGGCTAAATGTAAAATGTAAATGGCTTTAAATTCAATGTTACATTCACATAAATAACCTAAAATTTTATCATTTTTTTAGATTTCACATTTACAATGAAGTACAAGTGTCAATTTCAAAGTACTGGATGAAGCCTTCTCTGCAAGTAAATTTTCTCCAAGTCAGATCAGCAATATGTACAGTACAATCTACACAAATCATGTTGCACAAAGTAATTTTGGTAATACTTTAGATTAAGTGCATCCAAAAAAAGGGTGTTTTTTTAATTATACGTTTTTTTGGAGTGTAGATTAAGAATCTGAAAACCATTTTTGGCAGTCAGCATTTTTTTTATATATTTTCTATAGAAAACAAACCTAACCTAACCTAACCTAGCGCGATTTTTGGGTTTTACATAGGTTTACAGACTGGAAATGATCTATATCAATCTGGGAATGACTGTAAACATAGGTAAAACCCAAAAATCGCGCTAGGTTAGGTTAGGTTGGTTTGTTTTCAATAGAAAATATATAAAAAAAATGCCGACCGCCAAAAATGGATTTCAGATTCTTAATCTACACCCCAAAAAACATATAATTAAAAAAACACCCTTTTTTTGGATGCACTTAGTATAATGTATTACCGTAATTTAAAAAAAAATAAAGAATTAAGTAGTAAAATATCTTACTTTCCTAGGTTGCAAAATGGCAACAATGACAATGACTGACAAAACAACAATGACTTGCAGTGACATCACAAAGGAATATGAATTGCATGTGATGTCACATGTGATATGTCATAAAGCAAATACTTTTCAAAATGTTTTGTTTTAATGGAATAATTAATACTACCTACTATTGTTAAAATAAACAAATAAACTTGTGGCAAAGTTATTATTCTCTCAAATTTACCCATATTTGTAAGGTGGCAAACAAGAGATTACCTAACATACAAATTCACATGACATTAGTTTTCACATTTTACTTGAAAATTTTATTTCAGGTGATGAATTTCACTTGTAAGTTGTAACCAAGCATAGAAATATGGAGATAAAACTCCTATGATAAATTAGTAATGTAAACAAATATCTAGTTCTTTACATTAGCAATCAATGTCAAGAGACTTATGTAAACCATACATCTGATCAGACCGAGACCCGAGTCAGAGCGGACCGATTGGTTCTGTAAGCAGTTTTGAGTGAAATATATAACCAAATTATAACTCATTCAACAAGTATATATGCTAAGAAAGATAATTTGAAGTTTCTCAATGTTAACAGCATTGAAATCTATGCTTAAACATAAATTTTTAATATTTTTAGGCATTTAATGACTTAAAACTGGACTTCAAATCCAAAAGGTACTTTTGTTTTGCATAAATTGAAATTTCCTGCCTGTTCAGCTGTTGCTGTTAGCCAATGCTGTCTTTTGTTTACTCATTGTGTGTTCCGGTTGCAACTGTCACGTCTTGTGAGGGGTGATGCTAGTGTGAAGTGTGTTGCGGAAAGGTCCATTGATCAATGCAAAATCTCAAAATACTATGTTCTTTCATAAAATTAACTATAGAATTACATTGTGTTCTGGCAGGATATTCCCAAGATAGAATAAAATAGAATATAATAGAATTGTCAGCACTGAAGAAATAGGCCCATAGCCTGTTGCCAATTCTTGCACTTTTTGTGACCTGATTCAACAAGGGATCCGGTTTTCTGAACCTGATCTTTCCATAACTGACAATTGTTTGACTTAGAAATAGCTGCTGGACTTATTGCCTGGTCCATAAGGTGCTAGGCATTTCATGATTTCAAGACTAAACATATGCTCCGTCATAGCTTTGTCTAGTCAGTTCCACATGTCGGTGACTACCTTACTGACATTCTGATAAGAAGTGTTTTCAAAAGTTTAAAGAAGTTTTAAAATTTTAATTTGTCATAAAAATTGTATATATACTTGTACTTATTGTAGATAGGCATTATGAAAAATTAGGCAGAAGTTATCTGTAAATAAGACAAAAAAGCCCATATTCATATTGCCCCAAGGAATCAGAGGGTGCAAGCAGCATCGCCAAGATATGGTTTTTTAGCTCAAAGCGTCACCAGCCATTTTCAATATCCATCGCTGGGTAATTTTTAATAAGAAAGTGCTGCAAGCAACTTTGATAGTAGATCCCTTACTATCCATAATCCTCGCACCGCTACACTTACACACATCGCAACTGATTTCCGAACAAGCTTCACTGCATCCTGATCCTTCCAGCATACCAGAAGAAACCTTACTGTGCGTGCTTGTGGTCTTTCAGATTTCCAGTACCGTCAACCGGGACTACTCGGGACGGTTGTGAGCATTTTTTGTCAATAACTTCTTACCATGAAACATTTCATAAACAAGTTTAGGCTCATTTTATAGCTCTTTGCAAGGGCTATCGAAATGGCAAATTCGAAAAAATTCCATATGCTATTCGTAAGGTGCCAGAAGCAAAAAAAAGAGTGTCCCAAGTAGCCCCGTCGAACGGGGCTAATCGGGACACTTGGAATAAAACTTCATTTTAAAATATTTGAAGCATGCAGAGTGTACTCATCCATTACTAACAGTACTCTGAAGTCCTCCTCTTTCATTGTAGATGATGTAGAGGTAGAATAAATGGCATTTTCTGTGATTTTTACTTCTTTTTCATTTATCGATATATTTCATTTATCGATATATTACCATATACATTAATTACCGTATTATTGATGCAATATTACCGTATCCATGAACATGCCATTGAGCATTTACAACAACCTTGTCCACTGCAAGCTTCATATCAGCAGCCTTATAACATTTTTTCTGTATCTATAAGCTTACAGGATGGCTTGTAATTTCACACCATTTTAATTGGTTTGAGTGAATTTACTATGAAAAAAAAGATCGTGAAAAACATACCTGAAACAGAAAGGAATGTTTCAGTAACAACCATCATATGTTTTGCAGAAATAAATCATAGTTTAGGTCAATTACTTTTCATTCTATGATGCCTGGTGCACAATTCTATATATGACATTCTATGCACAATTTTGTGATGACCGATGATGCACTAATTTTTCGATAAGTGAACTTTTTTCACCGAGCGAGGTAAATGTAATCAATATTCTTTGTTTTTAATCAATTTTCTTCTTAACTGGAGCCTTTGCTTACCAAGGTTCTACTGTAAATGCGTTTTTGGGGGTGTCCCGAATAGCCCCAGGGGGTGTCCCGAGTAGCCCCGCCATGCGGAAATGGCTGCCATTTTACTTTTTGGATTGAGGTATGCAAATTTTGCAAAAAAAGTTATCAAGCCTACACCTGGGTGCAACTTTTATGTAAGTAAAATTTTTTAATACGGCAAATATTTTTTTTTACTACAGACCTTAGCAGAAGTAACTTTTCAAAATAGCATTTTCACCATTTTTTTAGTAATTTTTTAAAGCTAGTAAATGTAGTATTTTTTTACTTCCTTTATACGACATAGATAGGGAAAATGTTGACGTTTATGCCACTATATTTAGTTTTGCAATATTCCAATTAGTTTTGCTACTAAAACTGTTTTACACCATGTCGGAGGACTGTCCCGAGTTACCCCGCCAGTCCCGAGTAGCCCCGGGCCCCCAGTTTATGGTAATTTCAAAGTTATTTCTCATATGCAATAATTTCAATCCAAATGTGTCGACAATATTTTCAAATTTCAAAAGGCTTAAATTTTACTGCAGATGCATTGCCAAATATCTTTCAATGTTCACCTACTTAGTAGCGTAAAATGGGGTAACTTTGACCACTTTTTTATTCTTAATGATGCCATTTTTTTACTAGATAAGTTAAACTTAAATTGAAACGTGCAAAATACAGGTCTATACTCTAGCTTTACTTACCTTAAATTGCTGGCTCCTGCCTCTCATAGTTTTGATGTCATTTCAAAAAAAGTGATGGTCTTTGTTACCCCAGCTCCTGGGGTTTCTTTGACCGGGTTGTAAAATCAATTTTATTTTTTGGTAAAATAACTCCAAATAACTCCAGGTTGTGGTGCATTGTAGTAGAACTCTTCTAGTTACATATGCAAAAGACAAATTTTAGGAAAGTGTCATAGTTTGCAAATGGGGGGCAATGGGCGAAATGTGACCACCTAATGACAGCTGTGACGGGGTAACATTGACCGGTTTTGAAATTAAGTTAAAATTACCATATATAAGACTCTGTAAAGTCTGAAACATAAAGAAAAAAACATTAATAGGTGTATCGAACATAAAATATGTTATATAGGTACCTATGGTAACTTAATTTCCAAGCCGGTCAATGTTACCCCGTCACGGCTGCCATTAGGTGGTCAAAGTTACCCCATTGGGGGGCGGCGCCCCCATTTGCTAACTATGACACTTTCCTAAAATTTGTCTTTTGCATATGTAACAAGAAGAGTTCTACTACAATGCATCAAAACCTGGAGTTAATTTACCAAAAAATAAAAAAATTGGAGGGGGTACTCCAACAGGCTTTAAATAATAGCTCTTTTTCGTGGGTCACATTTTTAATTTTTTAACCTATTAGATATGCTAACTTTTAAAATCTTTCTATTGTGTTAGGCATAGTGACAAACCACGGATTTTTTAGAATCAGTTCATTTTTAATTTCCTCATTTACTCATTATTTAAACCAATTTCTTATGTATGATAATGCAAGTATCCAGGATACTTTACTGGTCTACATATAGGACATTAGGACTCAAAAATGAACTTGAAGGAGAGTCTAAAAAACTCTCTGCTTTGCCACTATGGTCACTGTTATGTAGCCTCAGTATTAGGCCTTTGGTGGCCATTGTCAAAATTTTTCTATGTCATATCATTTTTGAGTTTTGGGGGTTTTTGTTAAAAAACGAAAAGTGGTCAAAGTTACCCCCCGGTCAAAGTAACCCCATTTTATGGTACTTACTTACTGCACAGTGGCATATTGGCACTTGCCACTTGCCGCAC